TATGGGGTCCACTACCGCCCACAGGACTGGCATGGGGTCCACTACCGCCCACCTGATGGGTATGGGGTCCACTACCGCCCACCTGATGGGTATGGGGTCCACTACCGCCCACCTGATGGGTATGGGGTCCACTACCGCCCACAGGACTAGTATGGGGTCCACTACCGCCCACCTGATGGGTATGGGGTCCACTACCGCCCACCTGATGGGTATGGGGTCCACTACCGCCCACAGGACTGGTATGGGGTCCACTACCGCCCACCTGATGGGTATGGGGTCCACTACCGCCCACAGGACTGGTATGGGGTCCACTACCGCCCACCTGATGGGTATGGGGTCCACTACCGCCCACCTGATGGGTATGGGGTCCACTACCGCCCACAGGACTGGTATGGGGTCCACTACCACCCACATGATGGGTATGGGGTCCAATATTGCCCATAGAATTAGTATGGGGGGTCCACTAACCCTCCATAAAATGAACTAAATTAAATTTTTGCTCCTTCAGCTGAAAACATATTAGGTAATTAATTTTCAAACGCAATAATGTTATAAACCCCTGGAACCGCCTACCAGCCGAAGTGGTAAATGGTAAGACACTATTTCAGTTCACAATCCTGATGGGAAAAAATCTTCAGAGACAATGTGGGGACCTTTAACAAGCCGCCGGCTTCCTGGCCCCTGTCAAGGCCACTAGAGAGAAGAGGCCCTCAGGTATATACCTTTCTATCAACATAAACCAATACAATTTTTCGATTTCATCGAAAAAGAGCTATAGAATTTAACCTATTCCAAAATTTGCCTGTTAAAATTTACCTATTCAAATAAAACCCAGGTTTTCCGGTTTAACATTAGTGTATATGTTAATTTGAAAGATTAATTAACGATGACGATTGGGAGTCACAATAACTCCAGTACCATACGTGTCACTGTTCATTGTTGCTTTAAATGATAATTTGAGCAAAGTTTGACTTGACAGTTCTGTTAAACTTTGCACCTCTCCCAGCACGAGGACGTTACATATCATTGATACAGCAAACTGTTGATCAGAGACTACTATGAACAGGTAGTGATAGTGGGAGTGTGTTGGTGTTGGGGTGGGGTTGAGAGTGGGGTTGAGAGTGGGGTTGAGGGAGGGGTTGAGAGTGAGGTTGAGGGTGGGGTTGAGGGAGGGGTTGAGAGTGGGGGTTGAGGGTGGGGTTCAGGGAGGGGTTGAGAGTGGGGTTGAGGGTGGGGTTCAGGGAGGGGTTGAGAATGGGGTTGAGGGAGGGGTTGAGAGTGGGGTTGAGGGTGGGGTTGAGGGAGGGGTTGAGAGTGGGGTTGAGGGTGGGGTTCAGGGAGGGGTTGAGAGTGGGGTTGAGGGTGGGGTTGAGGGAGGGGTTGAGAGTGGGGTTGAGGGTGGGTTTGAAGGAGGGGTTGAGAGTGGGGGTTGAGGGTGGGGTTGAGGGAGGAGTTGAGAGTGGGGTTGAGGGTGGGGTTGAGGGAGGGGTTGAGGGAGGGGTTGAGAGTGGGGTTGAGGGAGGGGTTGAGGGTGGGGTTCAGGGAGGGGTTGAGAGTGGGGTTGAGGGAGGGGTTGAGGGTGGGGTTGAAGGAGGGGTTGAGAGTGGGGTTGAGGGTGGGGTTGAGGGAGGGATTGAGAGTGGGGTTGAGGGTGGGGTTCAGGGAGGGTTGAGAGTGGGGTTGAGGGTGGGGTTCAGGGAGGGGTTGAGAGTGAGGTTGAGGGTGGGGTTCAGGGAGGGGTTGAGAGTGGGGTTCAGGGTGGGGTTCAGGGAGGGGTTGAGAGTGGGGTTGAGGATGGGGTTGAGGGAGGGGTTGAGAGTGAGGTTGAGGGTGGGGTTGAGGGAGGGGTTGAGAGTGGGGTTGAGGGTGGGGTTGAGGGAGGGGTTGAGAGTGGGGTTGAGGGTGGGTTTGAAGGAGGGGTTGAGAGTGGGGGTTGAGGGTGGGGTTGAGGGAGGGGTTGAGAGTGGGGTTGAGGGTGGGGTTGAGGGAGGGGTTGAGAGTGGGGTTGAGGGAGGTAGTGTTAGTTAGTTTAGTTCATTTATTATGCACCCCATACCCATCTTGTGGGCGGTAGTGGAAAGGGTTACAGAGGCACATAATGGGCTCAGGGACTGAACCCCACAATTCAGGTAGTGGGTGGGGTGGAGTGTGGTTAAATAAGGATGGTGGGGGGGAGGTGGGGGGAGTGGGTGGGGAAGGAATGTGGCAGACGATGGGACAGGGAATATGGGAAGGGGGTGGAGATGAAATGAAGAGATGGAGGATATTGCGATTTTGGCAATATTCTTAATACACAAAAATAAATAAATTTTCAGACCTTTGAGGAGAGTGATTCTGTCCTCTCGGATAAACACCTGTAAACACTTACTTCATTTAAACCTATTTTGAGCCTTTAGGCCGTACTGAGCACCTTCTTCGCCTCTGGGGCAACCAAAATCAATAAGAAATATATAGCTTTCCTTGCCTAATATACGTTTAAAATATTTATCTACATATACACAAAATACAATGTCATTCCCTCTGCAAAGTATGGTGTCTGGCATCTTAGTTTACTGTGTTATCTAAGAGAGTAAAACACCGTAAATAACTCCTGCTAATTCTTGTTTCTCATCAATCACAGAAACATCAATGCAAGACAAATGAGAAAAGATTATCAAAGTAATGAGCGTCAAAAGAAATGTTCTTAAAAGGTGTTGTTGTCGAGGAGCTGAGAGGATGTACAACACTGAACAAACACTCCACAGAAAACGGGGCTTGGCCTTGAGGTGGCAAGATATCTTCTCCCAGGATAACATGTTCATCTCTCAGCCGTGTACAGTCAGTGGTAGCGCTCCCAGCAGCTAGAGCAGAGTGGTCGACACGCAACCACTGACTACTATTCTGGACGACCTACTTTCGAGTAGTGTGGCGTGTGACTTCCATTGCCCCAGGTGATGCTTAAGTTACTTTAAAAAAACCAGTTTGCGAAGTTGTGTCGACTCTTGATCATGTTAAGCTTATTAAGCTTCTGGTTTCACGTGCTTCTCTCTAATTCAGGAGTGAACTTTGGAGTGAATATTATGTTGGCGGTGTTGAGTGTGCAAAGGTTTGTATGTGATGAGTGTATATGTAACTTGATGCTGTTGAATACATGATGAGCTTCGTCATGGTGTGAATGCACGAAACATTTGGTAAGTGCACACACACTCACACACACACACACACACACACACACACACACACACACACACACACACACACACACACACACACACACACACACACACACACACACACACATACACACACCAAACGTGACAAAAAATGCTCTAATATTTTAATATAACTTTAATAACAGATGTTTCAAATATTCAGATTCTCTCAAGGTCACGCACTGAAGTGCTATGACGGTGAAGAGAGAATCAGGAGCAAACAAACTGATGAAAATGATAAAGACTCTTGAATATGACTGAAACTACATGTTCCCTCCCCACACAACCCACATGTACCCTCCCACACAACCCACATGTACCCTCCCACACAACCCACATGTACCACACAATCCACATATTTCCTTCCTCATCCCGCTACTCCCTCTCACATTCTCATGCTCATTCCTCACAATCCCTCGCTTCACGAAAATGACATCAGAACACATTCATTTGCTACATACACATGGCAACAGCCAGGCATACGCAGATTCAGCGAAAGGAACTATTGTTGTGAAAACAAGAATCTAGTTTAATGAAGTTAATGAATGACATATGATTTCCCAAAGTCATGCCTTCTTTGCCTGGTAATAGCATAGTAAATTACTGCTTCTTTGGGCCAGTTCGATTCCTCTGTGTAGGACATTACGTTTGATTATATGTCCTTTAACTGGTTTTATCAGGTAACCAATTCAAGAGAGAGATATCTAGTGGTTATCTTATCTCAGTCGCTGTGTGATATGGAGAGTGGCTTCAGACGGTCGTTGATGGTGATATGCCAATGTCCTTCAGAGGTTGTTAGAACGTCGCCACACACACACACACACACACACACACACACACACACACACACACACACACACACACACACACACACACACACACACACACATGACATGGCTGTCTGAAAGACTTCGATCTCGTCCAAAATTCTTTGCAATGCTAGTTAGGGAAGAAGCGAGGAGACTACAGGACTTACAAGCTGGGGTAACTGGGGAGGTACAGGCAGGGGTACCAACTGGGGGAGGTACAGGCTGGGGTACCAACTAGGGGAGGTACAGGCTGGGGTACCAACTGGGGAAGGTACAGGCTGGGGTACCAACTGGGGAAGGTACAGGCTGGGGTACCAACTGGGGAAGGTACAGGCTGGGGTACCAACTAGGGGAGGTACAGGCTGGGGTACCAACTGGGGAAGGTACAGGCTGGGGTACCAACTGGGGGAGGTACAGGCTGGGGTACCAACTGGGGAGGTACAGGCTGGGGTACCAACTGAGGAGGTACAGGCTGGGGTAACTGGGGAGGTACAGGCTGGGGTACCAACTGGGGAGGTACAGGCTGGGGTACCAACTGGGGGAGGTACAGGCTGGGGTAACTGGGGAGGTACAGGCTGGGGTACCAACTGGGGAAGGTACAGGCTGGGGTACCAACTGGGAAGGTACAGGCTGGGGTACCAACTGGGGGAGGTACAGGCTGGGGTAACTGGGGAGGTGCAGGCTGGGGTACCAACTGGGGAGGTACAGGCTGGGGTACCAACTGGGGAAGGTACAGGCTGGGGTACCAACTGGGGAAGGTACAGGCTGGGGTACCAACTGGGGAAGGTACAGGCTGGGGTACCAACTGGGGGAGGTACAGGCTGGGGTACCAACTGGGGAGGTACAGGCTGGGGTACCAACTGGGGGAGGTACAGGCTGGGGTACCAACTGTGGAGGTACAGGGGGTACCTGGGGGAGGTAACTGGGGAAGGTACAGGCTGGGGTACCAACTGGGGAAGGTACAGGCTGGGGTACCAACTGGGGGAGGTACAGGCTGGGGTACCAACTGGGGGAGGTACAGGCTGGGGTACCAACTGGGGAGGTACAGGCTGGGGTAATAGAAATAGATAGCAATAGAAATGGTAATAGTATAGAAAGAAGAGGGAAGCGAAGCCCTTCAGGTTAGGTACTTGGACACTACTCTTCCTTATTTATGTAAATGTTCTGAAAGCGAACACGGCAATGTTTACAGACGACACGATAATATTTACAGACAACATGGCATTGTTTACACACGATATGACATTGTTTACAAACAACATGGCAGTATTTACAGACGATAAAATAATGAACAGAAGAGTGTCTCTCAATAGTCAGTTTGCCAACATGTATTGTTTCTCACTTGGGAAACTTAAGATTTTTAATTAATATTGTTTGACATAAAGTTTTAATATTCATCATGAAGGCAATTAACCAACAGTAATTCATTTTCTTTTGTCAGATTCAAAAAACAAGAAAATCCGAAATGTCGTCATTTTCTAAGGCAAGAATGCGTATACCAGTGTCACTGAAGGTTGACAGTGAGGGATTCCCGAAGCCCGCGGCCAGTAAGGGTGACATCACCAGACAAGACCAGAGGGACGAGGAGAATGGAGAGATACTGAAGGAGAGAGTCATAACCCTCAGAAGAGGTCACAGAGCTGCTGCTCTTCATAGCCTCTGCTCTAGGACCAACGTGACCCAGCCGTATCACTTGCTGGAAGACCACAAGCGAATTGGATGCTTCCGGATACAGGACTTCACTGATAACAATGGGAAATGGAAACTCAGGTGTGGGGATATGAAGTATCTGCGACCTCCTGATGGGTTCAAGAGTCGTAGTTTCCAGACGTGCCTTAAGCTGGAGGGAGGAGTGCCGGTGAGTTATACCACGACTCGCAAGACCTTCCTTGGGCCTTCTATGGACATCTTATCTACTGAGAACTGCAGAAGAAACCAAATATTCCGTGTGCCTGTCGAAAGCCTTCCTCAGAATCAGACCGAAAAGCCCCTGAGAGACCCAGAAGCCTTTTGTGTAAACATCTGGGAGGAATTCCTGTTTGGGAAATCTATACTGGGCGACAATAAAGAAGAAGATGTTGATGAAGACTCCGGTCCTCTGGGGAAACTTCACGTATTCTTAAGACGATATATGTCAACGTCATGTATAAACATTCTGACGTACGCAATATATTTCGTTATATACTTTGCGTCGTGTTGTTCCTACAACATGTTCTGGCAACTTGGAACGTACATTCTCCTGGCTAGTCACTTGCAGATCCACGAGCGGGCGTACGACAAGAAAATAAAGCTAGAATTCACAGGGAGCAGCTTCCAGGGGCCGGCGTACGTATTCGTCAGGTCGTGGTGCCAACATTGTATTCAGAGAGATACACAAAAAGTAATGATGAGTTTGATGAAGAAGATGAAAGCTGATATAAATGCCTCCGCTTACAGGTAGTTAATTTACAACCTTTACTCGACCGGATTCTTAAATGTATTCGAATCAAAGCAAGGAGATATTGTACCTCATCTTTTGTAATCACATTACGATGTGCATGTTCTGTAATTATATAATATGGATGAAAAACTACGACAGAGAAATAAAAAGAAGATAAATGAGAGGTTTTTTGTTCTTCCGCAAGTTTTCAAAGATTTACTGGGGAATATTGGGAAAGCAAATATATGTAAAAAGACAGATCAGGAGAAGGATAGGCCAGCATAGGCCCGTGTGAGTTGTCCTTAGGATGAAACACGACTTATAATCTCAGACGCTTGATCTCAGTGTTGAATGACTAAACTCATTATTTCATCTTATCAATTGTTCCTACATTTTTGCTCACAATGAATGCAACTCAAAGACCAGTGTTTTAAATATTATCATTTTTTTGTTATTATTTTCTACCACAAACGTGGCCACACATTTACAATGCTAACCAGCATATATACATTTTCTTCTGTTCTCCATAGACAGGGTTAGAGATCAGTTAAACATATAGTTCAGGGATTTATTGAACAATCAACCACAGAAGGTGATTCGGTACTTTTAAAATCCTAAGCTAACCTACATACGTAAATATTATCATTAAGGTTGATTAAACTTAAGTTCACTATGTTCCTGTCCATGAATAATTGTAAAAGAGGCCATTTTTATTATATTATGACAATATTAAGAGAATAGGAGAATGAACGGTGGAGGAAGTAAGGACAAAGAGAAGAAGAAATGGACGATGAAAAGAGAGGAAAAACGTGTTGTAAAGTTGAAGCCGAAGAAGTATAATGCCATACAAGAAGAAGGCTTCGGGAAGCCTTCTCCTCATCTGTGTGACGATCATGGGCTTCGGGAAGCCTTCTCCTCATCTGTGTGATGATCATGGGCTTCGGGAAGCCTTCTCATCATCTGTGTGACGATCATGGGCTTCCGGAAGCCTTCTCCTCATCTGTGTGACGATCATGGGCTTCGGGAAGCCTTCTCCTCATCTGTGTGACGATCATGGGCTTCGGGAAGCCTTCTCATCATCTGTGTGACGATCATGGGCTTCGGGAAGCCTTCTCATCATCTGTGTGACGATCATGGGCTTCGGGAAGCCTTCTCATCATCTGTGTGACGATCATGGGCTTTGGGAAGCCTTCCTAACTTCTGCTTGGCATAATTAAGAAAACTCCAGCCTTAACAAGCCAGTCGAGAGGCGAAATTATTGCTAAATAGTTTCATCTGAAGCTTAGAAATGTAGTTAGGAAACTGACGTCGTTAAATATCTTTACACTACAGCTTTCCCTCTTCTTCTTTAGATACTTAATACTATTAATAATAATAATAATAATAATAATTTTTCTATAATAAACAAATATTAACATATAATATTATATATAAATAATAATATATAATATTCTATAATAAATAATATCAATAATAATAAGTTTTTCTCTGAATGCTCTGTGTTCTTTTCTTTGAGGCTGTGGGTCCCTATAATTGCATCAAAGGTGGTACCCCCTTTTATAATAATAATAATAACTTATTTATATTTTATTTATTTATTTATTAATATTTTGTTTTATTTATTCATATTTTATTTATATATATATATACAAGAAGTTACATTGGGTTTATGAGAGAACATAGCATGATGTGTTTACATTCTTGTAAAGCCACTAGTACGCGTAGCGTTTCGGGCAAGGTTATCTTGAGGTTATCTTGAGATGATTTCGGGGCTTTAGTGTCCCCGCGGCCCGGTCCTCGACCAGGCCTCCACCCCCAGGAAGCAGCCCGTGACAGCTGACTAAGTCCCAGGTACCTATTTACTGCTAGGTAACAGGGGCATTCAGGGTGAAAGAAACTTTTGCCCATTTGTTTCTGCCTCGTGCGGGAATCGAACCCGCGCCACAGAATTACGAGTCCTGCGTGCTATCCACCAGGCTACGAGGCCCCCTTAAGGTGTTGAAACAAAAACCCTCTTAGACTAAAACTTAACACTAATTGAGATTAAAGTATAAATTGTGTTGAAAAAGGGGGAAGGGGGCATGGAATGGCCCACCACTTTATAATTAAATGTAGTTTAATTTTTAATTGTTATTATTAAGTGTATTTGCCTGCCAAAGTCCCTTCGCGTGCCAGAGGGGTGAGGCATTGTACTTTCGCTTACCTATCCGGGTTATAGCCTTGCCAAACTTGTGCTTAACCTGACAGTATTAGAGTGAGAATGGGTACAAATTAGCACCGGCACTCTTAATTAATTTTTGTAATTGATAGATAGCAAAACTTTAGATAGATATTCAATTCAGAGCTCATCTAAACATAGAAAACGTACATGAACAGGAAATAAGAGAAAATGGAAATACTAAAGGACTAACCAAATTATTTTTAGAATAATCCAATTTAATTCGAAAGCCATAATAATACATGTACGAAACTCATCTAGGTCAACTACCGACATGCCCCAAGTTGTCTCCAGCCAAAGTTGCCTCCAGGCAAAGTTGTCTCCAGGCAAAGTTGTCTCCAGGCAAAGATGCCTCCAGCCAAAATTACCTCCAACAAATTTACTTCCTGTCAAGGTTACCTCCATCAAAAATCCCCTCCAGCAAAACTCACCGCCATCCAAGGTTTCCTCCAACAACAATTACCCTCAGTATAAGTGGCCTCAAGCACATACACAACCCACCATAACTGTTTTTACGAGTTTAAAAGACTTTCCAATACACCAAGAGGAAAAGAAAAGTCCATTCCAATAACTTTTTGTTAAAGAGCTTCTGTTAATGGCCCGCAATATGAACTGAGGAAGAAAAACATCAATGTGTCGTTTACAGGGAAGAGTTACTTATATAATATATATATATATATATATATATATATATATATATATATATATATATATATATATATATAATGTCCGAAACGCTTTGCGTAATAGTGGCTTTAGGCATTGTATGTACTAGCTCTACCTATAAGTCAAACAATCCTTGTAAATATTTATTGTATGTATGTACCTTACCTAAATAAAATTGTATTGTATTTGTTGTAAAAATTGTATTGTATATTACTCACATATTAGTGAATGCAGGGGGTCAAGGTCCAGTTGCTGGTCCCCCCGTCAACGAAATATTATTATTGTGAGTCTGTATTTCTGTTATGGCTTGTTTGGTTAGGTTGTGGAGTGAACATTAAAGCTTTTGGATATATCTGATAATTTCTGGGCTGGATATAATGGTTTGTTTTGCTTTGAAGAGTGAGGCTGTGTGAAGATAATATGTACGACTCAATTCATATTGTCATACAAGAATCATATACTGTAATTAACTTATTTTCATCGTTTGTATGTATACATTCATGTATGCATATATCTATCCATCTTTGCAATCATACATTAACGATAAACACAAACAAATACATATAAATATTCATCAAATATTCAAACAAATATCTACAAATAAATTAAAGATGATAACATAAATAAAATCAGATAGATAAGAAAAGCGATCAGCCAGTTTCCTCTCGAAACAATAACACACAACCAACCCACGCAAGAAATCTCGTCCTCATTGACCAAGGACACAGAGTCGAGAATGGATCGCTCCGGCAGCCTCACGTTCCATTTCATTTGTCTAGTACGCGGTAATTTGAGATCTGTACTAATGAAAGGTTGGCCAGGTGGGCCAGACCCTCGTTATGAGGGCAGTTTATGTGACGTGGCCAGAACGCTATGCCCCGAGATAAAGTGATATTGTTTGGGAGCTGTTTGTGTTTTGATATTTGGACTGAGGTGTGGGAGGAGGAGGAGGAAGGGTGGTGGAAAGGTGATTTGTGCTAATTGGGACATGTGTGGTGAGTGAGGAGGGCTGTGTGTGTGTGTGTGTGTGTGTGTGGGAAGATTGGCTATGTGTGTGTGTGTGTGTGTGTGTGTGTGTGTGTGTGTGTGTGTGTGGGAAGATTGGCTATGTGTGTGTGTGTGTGTGTGTGGGAAGATTGGCTATGTGTGTGTGTGTGTGTGTGTGTGGGAAGATTGGCTATGTGTGTGTGTGTGTGTGTGTGTGTGTGTGTGTGTGTGTGTGTGTGTGTGTGTGTGTGTGTGTGTGTGTGTGTGGGAAGATTGGCTATGTGTGTGTGTGTGTGTGTGGGAAGATTGGCTATGTGTGTGTGTGTGTGTGTGGGAAGATTGGCTATGTGTGTGTGTGTGTGTGTGTGTGTGTGTGTGTGTGTGTGTGTGTGTGAAGGTGGCTATGTGTGTGTGTGTGTGTGTGTGTGTGTGTGTGTGTGTGTGTGTGTGAGAAAGTGGGCTGAGTATGGGTGTTTCGGTCAAGAAGTTTCATAATTACGTGAGTCAGACTGACTCGTGTGATTACTTGGAGACTCACTCACCGGTCAGGTTAACTCACACACCAAGGAAAACGCATCTCACTTCACAATAGAGCAGTGTTTAACGATAACCTGGCCAGGTCACGACTTAGTGACGCGCCCCACGCAATACTCCATCGTCCCTCAGCACTTGTGAGAGTACTGACAACCATGCCTATACTGTCATATATTAGGGAGAAGTTTGTAGCGCCTCCAGAGAGGTAACTTCCTCATGTATGGCTGTGGTAACTTCTGCCTCGTAACCTTATACATATAGCTGTCTCCACTACCTCTTGCGTAGCTGTGGCAACTACCGCTTGCGTAGCTGTGGCAATTACCCCTTGCGTAGCTGTGGCAACTTCGCCATGAACACTACCCCCCACCTCACTTAGTCCAGTGAGTTTCATCCGGATTAGACTCTCTACAACATTGTAGATAGAAGGCAATGGGAGATAAACAGGAACAGAAGAGAGGGGAAGAGGAGAAAAGAAAGTGAAGGGATGGAAGAAATCTGAAAGGAAAATAAGAGGAAGGCGAGAGAAGGACAATGAGAGGAAAGGGAAGCACAAGGGGAAGGGAAAGGTATAATGATCGCGTGAGTAAGGTGACCACAGGGGCCTGTGTACAGTGAAGGGACAAGTATTGATCACTACATTAGTTAATGAATTTCCCCTTCCTTATCCCCACCCTTCCTCCCCTCTAGTACGTGTTTGCTTCACTCTCTCGTCGCTTCAAAACACCTGTTTTTTCTCAATACACCTGGCTTATGGGAAACTGGCTGATTATAGACACC